GATCCCCAACTTCATAGAAATTCGCCATCTGATATGGCGCTTCTTGCGGATGGAGTGCTGCAGAACACACTGGAAGCATAAGTTCTTCGCTCTGCGAGTCACTTCGAAAACCATCCACTCGTGGGTCATTGTAGGCTAATTCTGCAAAGCAGTCAAATGCCGCATTGGCTACTACAGTGTTCCAGGCCTTCATGGCTAGCTGAATCAATGGGGCAATGACAAGCGACGCTGATTGCGAGATGTTGCGCGGCGAGTTGTGAGCAATGGCAGAGATAAGCCTGAACACCGCCATTTGACTCTCCGCACACGTCGCCCGCCCGGCAAGCGAAATGGCTACTTCTATAACGTCCAGGTCATGGACTCGCCTCCGTAGCGAGGGCATTTTCTCCAGAGCGTTGTTGACAACTTGACAAAGCATGCGTTCAAGGCTCTCCGAATTGGGAACGATAGAGACGGCTACACGGAGAGGACGAAGGCATTTGAGGTCGTATGTAAACGTGGGTGTATGCAACAACAACCATCCCGTCGTTTCTACCATATTGCAGCAACAAACAAAGAGCCGTGCCTGTTCTTCTGCCAAGTCCACCTGTCGAGTGGCGATGGATGGTGCGCGCAGCGAGACCGTGGCTCCTCCAAATGGCGCTGTCCCACACTCAACAATTGGCAGGATCTCCAGTACCACCGCAGCGGTCCGTGTTATCAGTGGGCCAAGTTCGGAAGGGAGTGCCACAATTTGGGATTCCGCCACGTCACGTGCAACAAGAAGCGACTTCCCTAGGAGCTCTACGTAGAGTGTGAGCGCCGTCGTCTTTACTCTATGATCCACATTATTCATCCACTGGCTAACCTCCTCTAGCACAAAATGAAAGAGGTAGTGAATAAACCCCAGCGATGCACGGACAACAACAGTGCGCTCCTCAGACGAGATCAAGTGCAGACTGGAGGAATATTGCAGCAGCGGAAAAAAAGTCAGTGATGCCATGACGGTGCCATACGGAGAGCGCTCATCCATCAGCCGAAAACTCTCATCAATGCAAAGAAGAATTTCCTCCAAGGCCATAAATTCATGGGAATGATGCTCCTCAGCCCGCAAATGGGTTTTGGCAAGCTCCTCGATCAGCTGCTGCGATGGAAGGACACGCACAACATGAGCGGCGTTGACCCATCCACCCTTCCTTAATCGATAGTAGGCTTCGTTTGCATCGAGGGTGCCTTTGGCGCTGGAAACGGCAATCATCAGACGACCGGGGTAAAGCGGACATAACACATGGGCATTGCTGCGCGGACGTGTGCGCAGACAAACACTCATGTCTTCATGCGGTAATACCGGGTTCCGTGTGATAACCTGCGGAATATCAAATAACTGTTCTTCAATTTCAGAGCATTTACAACAAAGAATATAGCCGCACCCAGCCTGCATGCAAAAGCACCATTCCGCCATGGAGGGATGAGCACATGCTTTACATATGGAACACAACACACCAGCCTTTGGGTTCTTCAACGTCCGCAGGGGATGTTCTGGGTGCGACCCATGGTAAAACATACCTTTTCCCTTCCTATCCAACGCTCACTAATGGCTAGAAACAAAATACCCCCACGCAACAAAGAAAACAAACGAAGAAGCAATTCACGCACCATTCTTCGTCCTCCTATTACTTAAATACAGTGAGAGCATCGTGAGCACATATATATATATATATATATATATATATGTATACACCAAGGGAAAAAGTGATGCAGAGTGGCATATTCAGCAAAAGGCAGCAACAACAACTAACATCCATGGTATTAGAAAGTAAAATCAACAACAACAAAAATATTTAACGCCACGGAAAAAGAAACAAAAAAAAATCGCTAGTTGCTTTTCGTGTCACCCTTCCAACGTTCGTCCCTTCCTGTTTCCATTTAATGCTCCACGCATTGATTCCACCCGTTTCTCCTTCTCTTATCTTTTTTTTTTTTTCTGAGAAACATCATCACCCTTTTTTTTTTTCCCACGTTCCTCCCAAGTGACACACGCAAATGAAACTATGGAGCCGTGTGCTTCGTTGCATGTAAAGCATTCGCTCTATTTTGTTTGTGGTACACAAATACATACATATATATATATATATATATTCCCACTGTTGTAGTTGTTACCTCCTTCTCCTTCTCACTTATAAAAGTAATCGTTCATGCTGCTGCTGCTGCCAACAGTCTTCCCGCATACTCCCCCCGACTTCTTGTGTCCATCCATTTTCCCCGAAGGGGCAAAAAATAAAAATAAAATAAATGAAAAAATAAAAAACCCACTGTAACGACAGAAAATTTTGTGACCCCGAATCCCCCCTCCCTTTCCTCTCCTCCCGGTGATGCCGTCCGCCAGCATTTGTCACCATCACGGACTCGGTACTCCACATGAAAATTCGAGTTAACTCCGGGTCCAAAAGTGCCCTCTCCACGAGGTTCAACACCCCGGGGGTAGTGGGGGGCCAAAGGCATTCACACAACGTCCGCCCCCCACCCCACCGCCCCGCCACACCCCACCGGCCACGTCGCCACAAGTAACATCCGCAACTAATTACCTGTTGGGTGGGTGGGGTAGAAATGTGTTATCGGGATCCAATTTCTAACGTGCTAAGAGTGAAAGAACCACTTTCAGTGATATCTGAGAATTGTTTCGCTCCCTCGTACGTCATTCCAAACGCCGAGCCGCCAATGACTGCCATAAAAAGATTCGCACGCAGTCCCTTAAAAAACGCCTGGATGCCCTCTTCTCGAAAAACATTCCGCATCATCCAAATTGCCGGAAAACGCGTACTCCCCAAGTTTTTCGCCACCTGCAGCCGAAGTCGTAATACGTACAGTGGGTTCATCAAGATACCAATGATTATGCTTGACAGGGCCCCCACAACACAGTTCACAATGAGATTATCAGTTGTGGAAGTGCAGGTCACAGGCAGTTCTTGCCGAACTCTAGCAGGAGTAACAGCCCCAAGTAAGGGTGCGCTGCGCGAGGCGATTTTGTACGCCCTCTGCTTTAGCAGCTCATACACAAACCACCACGCCCCAGTAAGGGGTGAGACCACCATGGTTAATAGTGTGCCACGGAAAAGAGTGCGCCAGCCTTGCTCCATCAAAATGTATTTCGTCGTGCTAAAAGCATTTCTATATTTGTGCTCACCGCCACGACAATCAGCCACCATCTGCACCTGAGACACCACGGCAAAGGGATTAAAAATGGGTCCGGAGATGAGGTCTGCTGCAAAACCCCCTGTAAGGCATCGCTGCTCTTTTGTCGGTAGCGGCAAATGCTCCTTTCCGTACTCCACAATCAGGTAGTAGACGAGCTCACTGATGACAGTCCCCGAGACAGCTACACCAGCACCGCGGAATAATCCACGGTAGCCATGTTGCAAGTATACCTCCTGAAGAACCTGCCGCACTGTCAGTCGTGTCGTGCTGCACTGCTGACGAGATACCGCAAGAAACAAGGGGTGACCAACAAGGGAGTAAGCAAAGGACGTGGCGGCAAACGTTGCAAACAGAGTCACACAATCAACATGTGACCAGGACCTCGTCACCGCCGAGGTCGCAGAAGTTGGAACGCGCTCTGTGGTGTCCTTCACATACGGCACAGCTCCCCCCGCAAGGTCAACGAGTGGTGCCATCACACTCATCGTTCCCCTC